ATCAGCATGAGCACGCGCCGTCTTTGCTGTTTGAAGCTCACACTTCGCCCCTAGCAGTGTGACCCCCCAGCCTCCCAGGTGCAACCCTGACGCTTCAAACCCATTGAGGAACAACAGATGGGAAGTCCTGGTCCTCGACACAATGTGCTCTAACCACCGGCGGATATTTGCTACTCGACAAAGTAAAAAGCACAAACGGTCGGCAACTACAAACTCCTCGGTCCGCATTGAATTTGCTTTTTCCCTTCAAATCCTACTCGTCTGGTCGGCTCGAAGATCTAGACGGGTGCGCTTTTGTTTGGAAGGGATCAGCCAGCTCGGGAGGAAGATTCTGATAGAGCAAAGCGGTGTGGCCTCATCTTGACTGGCGAACCATCTGTGAGGAATGATGCGTGTGGTCGAAAGGATTCAGCTAGCCTGCGAGTAAATATGTGCCACTAACACCTTGAACCATGCGCCATCTCCCTCTTTCGGAACGGCTACTCACTGGATCCAGATCCTTCGCGTCTCCACCACTTGGCCTTCCGCGTGCCTCGTGGCACTTTAGGACCTGCGCTTACCGTGGTAGACCAAACACCACGGCCCAAAGTGGCCAAAGTCCAGTGTCCTATGCAGTATGCCTCCTCTTGAATAGTGCCATATCGGCGAAAAGGTGTCAGTCCATGCCGACGTTGAGATGGGAGAATAAGTGACAGCTGGGGAAGGTCCTGAGCAGCGAAACGACGAAGTTACCAGATCATTTGGGTTGTGTTCCCCTGCCGGGGTTTGCTGGCTTGTCAACAAACTGTGTTGGCGTCAGATAAGATCCAGAATGATGTGAGAAAATACGAGTCATCTCGTCTGTTTGGTTGTTTACCAAATCTCCAGGCCCAGGCAAATCCAGGCTTTCGCAACGTATAAGGAATGCTGAGGTTATTGAGGCGCAGTACCTTGATCCCCATTGACGCCAAAATTGAGCTTTCTTCCTTGGAAACACAGCGCAATTTGCCCCAAAAGCCAATGTGAAGTGGACGCGATGCCCGCGATTCCAGCGAGAAGTGGGTTAATTAACAGGTAGTGGCTGCTAAAGTGGAGAATGAGGGGCATCTACTATCGCCTAAACAAACAACTTTTTAGCAGTGATCCCGGTGGCTTTGGCGACTCTTTCCCCCCCCCCAAAACGCCCCCCAAGGCCTGGTTTTGCAGGTGACTGTCACTGACTGGGTCCTATTTTGGAGCCTTTCCCTTCTTGGCTCCGCAGGCCACTAGGGCCCGATGCAGCAAACCATCCACCATCGATGTTCCAACCCGTTCACACCTGGATGCTCAACCCCCAATTTACCAGTCTCATTTCCGTACGCCTCTGACCTACCTGTGCATAGGCCCTCTATAACCATGTTCTCCGCCTCGGTGAGTCCTCTCTCTTCCTATATCATCTCTTATTGTCCCTTGTTTCTGCCATGTCTTGACCCTGTTCCGCCCATCTCCATCCCCAAATCACCTACCCCGCCCAGTGCCCGCCATACCGGTGCTCCCAATGAAGCCCTCAATGTCGATATTCCTGGTGCACGCTCCAGCATGTGCTCCCGATGCTGGATTCGTCGACCTACCTCGACCTGAGAGTCCCCAGGTGGCCGATCCCTACGAGGTCGAAAGCTTGATCCATTGTCAAGAGCCGGAGGAGTGCGTCCGCTGCGCTCGCAAGAAGAGGAGGACCTTTGACGCCTATCCCGCACAGCCAAACCCTGAGATCCTAACTCGCCGGTTCCCTGACAAGAAGGGCTGCAAGCGGCTCCTTGCTCTCATCCTACATTTCTCTTGTTGTGCGCGATCTCGGAGAAGGTATCAACTAATCACTCGTTATCGGTACCACAAACAGAAGAAACCATATTCCGCCATCTCTGTCAACGTCGAACAATTGACCTCGGAAACCTATGAGGAAGACGACGTTGCTGGCATCCCTGATCTTCTCGAGGTCGTCAAGTTACAAGCCACTGGTGCGCAGGAAGTTGCTCGAGCTCTGCGGAAGAAGTTGAAATATGGCAACGTGCACCGGCAACTCCGGGCGCTTACCATTCTCGACGGTCTCCTACAAAATGGTGGGACAAGACTACAACGCGCGTTATTGTCCGATGGTCCTCTATTGGAACGACTTCGAATAGCCGCGGCCGACCCTACTTCGGACCAGGATGTCCGCTCAAAATGCAAAGACCTCTTCGGGCAGTGGGTTGCAAGCTCAAAAGAAAGTCCAGGCTTGGAAGGGGCCAAGTCCCTCTACAACACATTGCCTCGAACTCATCAACCGGTGCAGCAACGACGCGAGCAAAGCAGGGTGCTCCGGGAGACAGAAGAAGACGTTGCCAGAGAGCAAGAGATGGAGATTGCAAGAACGAGGTCCGATAGCTACTCAAGATCCGGCGAGTCATCCAACCCCGCAACTCTACGAAAGCAACCTTCTCCCGTTGCTCTCGGGGAATCGTCCACATTTGCCCCCAAAAAGGTCAAGAAGGACAAGAAAAGCAAACAAGCCAAGGGAGGATTCAACCTGGAGAAGGAAAAACCCAATATCTTACAATCGATCGCTGCATCTTCAGTTGCTTCCACTGGTTTGGCCAATGCCTTGAGGCTGGTCAACCGCGAGTCTCAGCGCGTGTCAGACAATCCCGAGGTTATGAAACGCTTCGAAACCTGCAAACAGCTCCGACGTCAGATTCTGCGATACATCCAATTCGTCGAGTCCGAGGAGTTCTTGGGCGGTTTGATCCACGCCAACGAAGAGCTGGTCAATGCTCTGATGGCGTTCGAAGTTCTCGACAAGTCGGTAGATGACGATTCGGACAGTGAGCTCGAAGAAGCACAGCATCTCAGTCGACAAGCAGCTAAAAGTGAGGCGTCTGCTGCGAGAGATGCAGAGAAGTTGGTCGCTGGGCTCAGCATTTCTGCTCCACCCAAACCTCCCCGGCCAACCCCCCGCAATATTGCGATGCCACCGCCACGGCCATCGTCGAATTCCAAGAATTGGAGGACCAAGCAAGTCGAAAGTGACAGCGAGAGCGAGACAGATGTCGAGGACGATTCGGATGACCCTTTTGCTGACAAAAACGCCATGAAAACTCCCGACCCCGACTCTCTAGGGAGAAAGGGGTACACGTGGAAGGAAGTGTAGATTTAACGGTATGAGTTATGAGGCATGGAAGATTGGCGGACCTTCAAGCACAGCTTATGTTCATCCCCTTCTATTCGATAGAGCGGCAGACGATGTGCTCTTACATTTGATGAAGCTATGAATGAATGACATTCGAAACACGAAAAGCACCTGATACCAATTCCCCTCTTTGTTTTAGTGCTTTGATTCATCGAATCAACCAAGTGGTCGGCAGTTGATTATCTCCCGATGCTCGTATTTTACCCCACAATCTGAGCTTGAGGCCTCGGCCATCCCAGCATGATATAGGTGGAACCTGTATATACAGCTAGGAAGCTTGTGTCGTCACCTTTCCATCCTTTGCTGACATTGTCCAACATCAGACGTGCGAGGAAATAAACAGCACGAAGCGAGTCGAGGCACAACAGAGTCCATGGCCAACTACACTTTCTCCAATCAATCCTCCATCCCGTCCCCTCTGGACAAACAACTCCCAGCGTTCTTTCGCTCGTGGGACGACCCGCACTCGGACAACAGCTACCTCAGCCTGTTCGCCCCCGAAGGCCAGCTGTTGTTCGGGTCAGCCGTGACGGGCCACGAAGCCATCCGTTCCTTTCGCGACGCCATGATCCACCCGACGAACGGGCCTGTCGTCGACCTCGAGCACACCCTGGACAAGTGCTTCGTGCTGGCCGGGGGCGCCGGGCCGGGGAAGCAGGAGGTGATTGTGAACGGGTCACTGTGGTACAAGCTGCGCAACGGCCGCAAAATCGCCGTCGACTTTGCCAGCATGATCAAGTTCGCGGATCCGGGCGACGGGGCCGATCTTCAGGCTGAGCTTTACGAGGTGTACCTGGACGCGCATGAGTTGAAGACTGCGATCACTGAGATGGGGGAGGAAGGGAAATGAGAGATGGATGAATATTGCTCTCCTTCAGCTCCTATCCTTGTTGTTCTTCCCTCCTCTTCCTTTTTTGCTTTTCCCTCAGCTCCCGCCTGGAATCGAGTGGTGAAATGGCTTGAGTGACATGAAGTCAAGTCAGCTGATGGGTGTGTCAATGTATACAGTAGGCGATACGTCGTTCTCATCTTGCTGCATTCTGTTCCGCTACTTTCTGATAGCTTATCTACTTGGTCTGGCTATGATGGGAATTATATCCTGTTCGTCCTTGAATGCCATGATAGGGGCGTATCTGCGTGAGCGCTCATCAGCAACGTCTGTGCGTTTTTCGCACTGCCATTCCAGATAGGCTTCGTGCGGTGTTGAAGAGCTTGACGTGGACAAGTCTCGCCCGTCTAACATGGTATTGGGTAGGGCAGAGCCTCGTGGAGTGGACGTAGGAACTCTGTATATTCCACATCCGTGTTGCAGAGAGCGGTTGTTCTCCGCTGTTTCGAGCGTTTAGATGTCGTGGACTGTTGGATGAGTTCTACCAGATATAGCATAGTCATGTACAGCTGAGCCGCAACCTTTGGGCAAGGCTGCAGGAGTTCACAGAGGTGGAGTTGATGACGTTGGCCATTGATTGGCTGAACCGAAGTTGAGCCTCTCTGCGCCCTGCAAGTCCTCGAGGCTGCCGAGTTATTGCGGCTTGAGTTCATTAGGCTGGAACTTTAGTAGCGGCGTTGGCGTGGCGGGCAAGGCGGGCTAGGCCGTCGTGGCCTTCGCACTGGTGGCACCTAACAAAGAAGTTGCATCACCATCTTGAGGCTGAAAACTCCCCTCCATCCTCACCCAACACTCTCAACCAGTACGTTACAATGCTTCTTCATCTTGACCCTTTGCACCAAATGTTTACCCTGCGAACACGAGAATACCCTACAAATCCCAGACTAGCCCCGCCGAATCAAACATGATCAACCCCAACATCTCAGCATGGTTGACTTGGAGACTTCACCTGCGGAGGTAGAGGTATGAATAAAATCCCTCGTCCCTTCTTGCCTGGCAATTATCTGATCTCTTGTTAGGCCCTTCGAGTCCAATATTGTCCTCCGCTGGATGATGCCCTTTTCTACGCCATCGCGTCTGATTACCAACTGCCCCAGGATAGGGCAGCCTTGACGGCGGACCTTGATCGCCTCAAGGCTGGTGCAATAGAACAAGAGGACGCAGAATTTGATCCTTCGGGTACAGGAGCTCCTGCACACCTCATAGATGCCACCGACACGTCCAGGTCGTGCCCCGAAGACAACTTCTCCAACGGTGTCACGAGCATAACCACTGGTATCTCCGACTTGCGGTGGAATGACTCAGACAGCCCGGGAAATGATCAGGATAACACCTTGTCGACTGAGAAGAAGATTGGTCGGCTGCGGCATGTATTTCCAAACATACCCAAACGTGAGCTGTCCAGTGTCTTGGAGAGCCACGCAGGATGCCTTGACAAGGCCGTCGACGAGCTTCTCAACCTCTCCTTCCTTAACCAGGGACTGGGGGAAGAACTAGAGGATGTGCCTATTTTGAAAGGGGTAGATGGATTTGCAGAAGATGCTCTCCTGCAAAGAAAAGGAAGGAAGAAACGGAAATACCGCACAACTGAGTCTTCGCGTGCGAATTCAGGCTCCTCCTCGCCTTATGAGTTAGAGCCCACTCCTACCAATGTCTGGGCTACTATGTCTAAAGATGTCGACTTCATTTGTTCTAGGACCAAACTCCAACCCCAACTAGTGCGGTCTATATATCATGCCAACGATGCGCGGCTGGCGTCTACCATTCGCGCGCTAGCAATAAGAGAAGGAGAGGCATACAGTAAGTCGGCAGAAGTCGATCCCCTCCTCGATATGCAGATTGCGGAGTTCCAGAGCCAGTTTGAGTATGTGCCCAAGTCACAATTGTATGGTCTGCTGAGACTAGCCCGAAATATACCCTCTGCGGCTCAGGAATTGTTGGAAGCCATGTCAGTGGCCGAGACTGTGCCAATAACCGGGAAGCTGCAGGCTGCCGCCCAGTATGCCCCTCTGAATCTCGGGGAAGATGAAGTCCCCAGAACCGCCTCGACCGCACCGGAGGATCTGACTATTGACCCATATCGGGCATCTGCAGCTAGTTTCCGGATAGCTGCAGGTCAAAGTTTTGATCAAGCTGCCGCAGCATACAGACGAAGCAAATCCGATCGTCTCTACGGAGGTGTTGCAGCGCACTACTCTGAGATTGGCCGAGAACGCGTCAGAGCTGCAAAGGAAGCCAAAGCTGCGGAAGCAGACTTGCTCGTGGCTAGACAATCTTCTTCAAACGTCCTCGATCTTCATGGCGTGACGGTACAAGACGCAGTTCGAATTGCCCGAGCAAAAACACAGAGCTGGTGGGATGGTTTGGGTGACGCCAAATATGCTTCTGGAGGTGGCGGACCTGCTAGGGCCGGCTTCAGAATAGTGACCGGGCTGGGAACTCATAGCAAGAATCATGCTCCGCGGATAGGACCAGCGGTAAGCAAAATGCTCCTGAAGGAGGGATGGAAGGTGGAAATTGGCCATGGTGAGTTGACAGTGACGGGTAAGAGGCGTGCATGAATGATAGTGTAGCTCGAAGCAAATGCTCTTTTGGAGATCTAGAGAACATGGATATGGATAGATTTGAGTGCTGAACTGAGTGCCACACTCTGTTACTGCTTTGTCACGGTAATTCCAAATACCTTGTGCCTAGTTGCTACTGGCGGCCGAGGCTGCGTATCTCAGCCTCGCCGCTACTGAATGATTCCACAATCAAAGTCCCACATTGTTGCCCGTCCAGCCAATCACGATGACCAAAGTATTTCATTGCATCATCAACCCTTGCGTGTTGGAGGCGCAGAACTCGCAAATACGCATTTCGTCGGTCTCGTTCCTTGCCTCTCGCTCCATTGCCGGCTCCCGACGAGGTCTATATCTCATCCCATCGTCCCAGGTATCCCTCTCTTGATGCGCTTCTCATCATTTCCTAGGATCGTTCGCAGGCTCTATACATTCGGCAACGCAACCGCATTTCGATTCCAACAACCGCTGCGGGGTAATCGCATCTCGCACACCCGTCGCGCCGTTGTTCCAAAATCTATGTCCTCGATCCCGTTCCTGAGCGCTTTATTCGGAACCTCAACCCCAGCTTCAGCCAAGATGACCTACCCTGATGCGCGATCGAATGATGAGTGGAGGACGGTACTCAACAAAGGTACGTCCGGAACATATATCCCCATAGCAACTGTCCATGAGATCGCAACTCTGATGGCCAGCCACACATTGAACCACCACTGACATCTATCGCAGAACAATTCCGCATCCTCCGCGAAAAGGGCACGGAAGCTCCCTTCACGGGCGAATACGATAAGCACATGCCCGACCACGGCGTTTACACCTGCGCCGCCTGCAACGCACCTCTCTACAAGGCCAACCACAAGTTCAAGTCCGGGTGCGGCTGGCCCGCGTACTTTGACAGCATCCCCGGCGCCGTAACTCGGCACACGGACAACAGTTTTGGCATGGAGAGGACCGAGATTGTCTGCTCAAACTGCGGTGGGCACCTGGGGCATGTCTTCAAGGGCGAAGGATATCCGACGCCCACGGACGAGAGACATTGTGTGAATAGTATCAGTTTGAAGTTTCACGACAAGGAGGACGAAGTGGCTGGGAAGCAAGGGAATGGGGAGGCGAAGTAAAAGAAAGATATTCAAATAAAAATGAAAATCAATACTATGGTTTAACAACTCTTTTCAACGCATGTGGTGGATGCAGACATATTGTCGCGATCCAAAATGACTTGTAGATGCGGACACCTGCCAACGAGTCGGAACACCATCCTGATGATCTTTATCAGCATGACTCTGGATTCTCGTGGGTGCTGATTCTGTGGCGTTGCCAATGCCGCAGAGTTACCTTGGCAAGATCCAACCAAGCATTGGATGCCGCGACCAAAAGCATCTTCAATGACCTACTTCACGAACTTGTCTATCCGAGATTCCTACGGAGGCGCTGGATATCGTATCCAGGATATCTTGCGGGTCTGGAGCTCAGGCCTGTACCACAACATTACATTTCTTTCTGCGCTGATCCTCGTGAAAGCATGTTTGTTGAAGGCTGGCAGACCCGTGACGTGGACGACAACTGGTGCAAGCGAATCAATGACCCTATTAGCTGCAATACCACTCGCCGTGGTTCGGAAAACTCTCCAGAATAATCTGTTCGAAGCGGACGTCCTGACTAAAAACCTACAGCGTCCGTCGAGTCGCGAGATCCAGATTCAGGGAGACGGGAGGGAATATGCTCCATACCCCTGTACTACCAGGATTGATAACACAGAACACTCAATGCCCTGCAATCCTGCAGATGGACGTTCGATGGGTCAGCTTCACTGCGATATGGCACGTGTGTGCAGGTGATTCTCGGAATTTACTGGTGCTCCAAAGTTCTACGCAAGGCACACTGCACAGACCATCCAAGCTCTATCAAGGCCACACTGGCTATCTGCGACCCACAGTTGCAATGGGACTGCGATCTCCGAAACCTATGTCGAGCCAACCTAATCGAGCTGTGGTTCAAGACTCACTGATAACCGGTCCTGCATTCCTGGATCACTGTTGTAAAGACAACCAATCCAAAGCTCAAAACTCCAACGGGATTTGACGAGTCCAAGGGAAAAGGCCTGTTTCTAAAGCCTTCACCAATCACACCTCCGTCACGAATCAAGGTGGACATCAAGATGTGCGGCAAGCTGCGAGGACTCCCCACGAAATAGATGGGGAGGTGGAACCACGGCTATTCGGACATCCCCCGAGAGACATATAATGGGCGATCATACTAAAGTCTGGCTCGTCAGGCCGTTTTTCATGCTGAATCGCCACCGTCTCCAACACATCTGCCGTGTCTGGAGGGCACACGACCAGTCTATGAGTGGAAATTTATCTTCGACAAGTCGACATCCTGCCCGTCCCAGCACATAGCCGATGTCATTCGGCTCGCGGCAAACATGATTGAGGACTTGAAGCCATCTCAAATGTCGACTTCCAAGAGCACTGATTTCCCATTGACGCAGGTTGGGAGCTTGTCTGGCGAGATTGAGGAATTGCCAGGATCCGGTGTGAAGAAGAGTACGAGGAGACTCCATTGCCCCCAGATATATACTTCAGCTCATCTTGAAAAGGCTTGTTGTGGAAGCTTGACTTGATCATCTTGCCTGTGCTTGCCATGATCTACTTCACCAACAGTCTCGACCGAGCCAATCTGGGAAACGCAAAGACCGATGGCATCGAAAAGGACCTTCACTTTGGGGCGAATCAGTACTCATTGGTCTTAACGTTGTTCTACATTCCTTATGGTCTCCTGAATATCCCTACCACGATTCTGGCGAAGCGCTTCAGCCCGGCCAACGTTATTCCGATTCTCATGTTTGGTTGGGGTGCTGTGTCTCTTGGGGCTGCCGCAGCGAAGAACTTTGGTGGTATTGCCACAACAAGAATTCTGCTGGGAGTCGCGGAGGCTGGATTTGTACGTCTATTCAGTCCTGTTTGCTCTGGTTGGCTGCTCGATTGGGATGCTAATGGCAATATCAGTTCCCGTCAGCCATTTACTACCTGTCGATGTTCTATACTCGGCATGAAAGTAAGGCATCGACTCGCCTCCCCTGACATTCAATACTGACCAGCCTCAGTTGCGAAAAGAATTTCGTTATTTTACATGATGGGCTTTGTGGCAAATGCTTTTTCCGGATTGATTGCCTATAGGTGTGTCTCAACCAGGCTGGGTGAAAAGATATGATGCTGACACCAATTGTTACCAGTGTCTTTCAATGGCATAAAAAGCTTCACGTAAGATATGCCTCCCAATCTTCGGGTCGACCGTTAACGTTGATGCAGAATTGGCAATATCTTTTCATCATCGAGGGGAGCCTCACGGTTTTTCTGTCCCTCGTAGCATTCACAATCCTGCCTCGAAGTTTGACTGCCTCGAGGTATTTTAGCCAGGAAGAGAAGGACTATGGCAGACTGCGGCTGCAGAGGGAGTTTGAGATTGAGCCAATCAAGTTTTCATGGTCCGCAGCGCTGAAACCACTGTTGAACTGGCACACGTGGATGTTTGGGGCCATGTCGCTGTGCTACGGAGTCGCGGCGGCCACTCTGTCCAATTTCTTGCCTGTGAGTTACATACAAATCTTTGGAGAGGTCTCCATCAGCTAACTGTGGTATCGGTAGACCCTCATCAAGCGATTGAAGCCAGACACAGTCCAAGCCAATCTCTTCACGATCGCGCCCAACCTCAATGGAGCGGTGTGGATCGTGGTCGTCTGCTGGATTTCTGACCGGTTTCAAGCTCGGGGGATCTGGTCAGTCGTTACCATGGGGACATCTATGATCGGCTTCATCTGCCTGGGTTCGGTCGATCTTGTCCACAAGACCGGAGTGGGATACTTTTTCACGTTCCTGTTGACATTTGGTGTGAGTTGGCAGCTTCATCCTCTTCCCCCCCCTTTACCTATCTCGGGGATATCTCCACTTTATAGGCATCCGCTCACCAGCTCTCCCAGACATTCACACCGGCCGTGTTGGTTCCTGCCTGGGCGACCAGCAACATAACTTCCAATTCAGCGCGTGCCACCACTCTTGGCCTGCTCGTGGGGCTCCAGAACATTGCAGGAATCATCTCGTCGTATGCGTTTCGAAGCCAGGATGCGCCGGTAAGCAATCCTCTATTCCCCAGTGATTTAGAAGAAGAGGCCCGAAGCTGATGTACCATTGGGTGCTATATTTGTAGGTCTATCGACCCGCACTGATCGTCTCAGGCTGTTTTCAGGGCGGCATGCTCCTGACCGCGTCGTTTGCCTGGTTTTACTACCGACGCGTCAACCGGCAGCTGGACAGTGGGAAGAGGACGTCGGTTCGGGGCATGGAGCAGAATCCAGACTTTCGATACGTGCTCTAGGGCTAAACTTGTGGCTATACACTATACATCTCTTGGAGTGCTACGTAGACGATATGATAACGAATGAATGATCTTTTCGGACCGGGAGTGTCATGCTTTGTTTGGTACCTAGAATCAAGTACCTAGGACTTAGGACCTAAATTCTGGCCCATCCTTGCGAAGTTGTGCTCATGAAATAGGGGCTACGTTCGCTATACTCTCGACTGTCTTGCTCGGCCGTCGACTCTAATTTCAAGTATACATATCCTACTTTTGCGCCCCCTCCCCTTCCTTCACGTTGCATTGCATCGCTTGCTAGACCTCGCTTTTGGTATCACAGATGCACTAACTACAGGCCTCCAGCCCTTCCGGCCTGTGTGCCTGTATCGTGCCGCTGCACGTGTTGTGAGAAGAAAATATCCACCCCAGAAGCAAAAGCAAACAGCTAAGGTCGAGGTGTCTGTCTGTCTAGTGGTCAATCTTGAGGGAAAAGTCGACGTGCGGACATCCTTGGTGCACGGCAGATGTGGATATCACGTCAATATCTAGATTTTTGCAGGCAACGTTAGCATCTGTTTGTTTGTCTCCCTGGATTGCTGGTAAAGGGGATGAAATTGGTAGATAGATTGATGAGATGGATGGACTGGTAGATAAAATCGATAGATAGAGTGTCGACTTACCATTGCTGACATAGTCGTTCACGTTCGCCGGCGTGAGGCCCCCACTACACTCGAGCAGAAACGACTTCTTGCCCGCCCACCTCTCCCTCAGGTTCCTGGCCGCGACGCGCAGCCCCGGCCCGTCGTAGTTGTCGAGCATGATGACGTCGGCGCCGGCAGCGATGGCCTCGTCGGCCCCCGCCTCGCTGTCGACCTCGACTTCGACTTTCAGGGCGAAGCCGCCGACGGCGCGGGCGGAGCGCACCGCGTCGGTGATGCTGCCGCGGGCCCAGATGTGGTTGTCCTTGAGCATGATCATGCTGCTCAGGTCCATGCGGTGCTGGTCGACCCCGCCGACCAGCATGCCGTACTTCTCCACCAGCCGGAACCCGGGCGTCGTCTTGCGCGTCCCCGCCACCATCCCCGTGTAGCCCGCGGCGCGCACGAGAGTGAGCAGCTGCCGACTTGCCGTGGCGACGCCGGAGCAGCGCGACAGGGTGTTCAAGGCCACCCGCTCGCCGAGGAGGAGCTTCCTCGTCGGCCCCGTGACCGTCGCGGCTTTGACCTTGCCGCCGCCCGCGGCGATGGCGCTAGAGTCGACAAAGTCGCCGTCCTTGACGAACCATTCGACCGTGCAGCCGCATTGCGCAAAGATTTCGTCCACGAACGGCAACCCCGCAACCACGCCGGGGGCCTTTTGGTACAGCGTCGCGGTGCGGATGTCCTCGCCGACGACGAAGCCGCCGTAGTCGAACGAAGGGGTGTCCTCGGCGAGCCAGGCGCGTACCTTGTCGGGGAGGCTGGTTGGGAGGAGGTGCGCGGTGGTTCCGTGGTCAAGAGCCATGATGATGAGGAGATGCCTGAGATCAAAGAATCGTGCCTACGTCCGTGTCCAAGACTGGCATGGCCGTGGCCGTGACAAAATTACCCCCTCCTGCGGCCATCGATCTTGGATTCAACATAATAGACCAAGAGCTTTGTATGAATCTGATGTTCCCCCACTATTCATTTTTCTGGTTGAGTTCAGACACCCGCCACTGGCCTCTTTCACGCATTTTCGTAGCGGTTCCCGATATATGGGGCTGCTCCCCCCATGTTTGAGGTGGACAAGGCAACGGGTTGAGCATTTTGGGTTTAGGCCAAGTGAGACTCGGGTTGCCCATCATCGGCTGGAATATGGGGGGCATTTCTGGGCGTTCATGACCCGATGGCTCTAACCGTGTGGAGGAGGAGGGTGGGAGGTAATGTGACATCCAACGCAGTGGTGGATGATGGCAGTGGTTGGTGGTAAAGAGCATAAGTTTGTCATACATAATCATCCATGGATCGTCCAACTGGATTGCATTGTGAGAGACGGTCATCACCGCACATTGGGATTTTTCCCCTTTTTGTATCTCGAGTCCAGCAAATCCAGGAGTTGAACACAGACATATACAGCCACTCACAAAAAGAGATCCCCATTGCTCTCTATCTCTCATTCCAAATCAAATCGAGCAATTGTTCCATCATGGACGCCCCAAGATTGTACCGCGGCGGTAGGTCTTAGTATTATCCTCCTACGATTACTGACTCCCTCGCTGACCCCTATCCCCCTCCTCAAGGGCCAGAACAGCGCAAGGCTGTGATTGCCGTCTGCATGGGCTCAGACACAGATCTGGCGACCTTGCGTCCTGGCATTGAGATTCTCGACACCATGGACATCCCCTACGAAGTCCACATCACTTCGGCCCACCGCACACCACAATACATGCTCGACTTTGCAAAGGGCGCCGCAGGACGGGGGCTCAAGGTCATCATCGCCGCTGCTGGCGGCTCTGCTCACTTGCCGGGAATGCTGGCCTCGGAGACGGTCCTCCCTGTCATCGGCGTGCCCGTCAAAGCCATGGCCTTGGACGGACTCGACAGTCTGTGCAGCATCGTCTCGATGCCGCGAGGCATCCCCGTGGCCACCGTGGGCATCTCCAACAGCGTCAACGCGGCCATCTTGGCAGCAAGGATTGTCGGGACGAGCGACGAAAAGGCTCAGAAGTGGGTGGCGGACCATCTCAAGAAGATGGACGACGACAATATGGCCAAGGAGCGTCGTCTCCAGGAGGAGGGGTGGTCGACGTACAAGAAACTGGACTCATGAATTGGGGAAAAAGGTCATGTCAGATGGGATTCTCTCCAAAGGCTCTAGTCATTTCATGAGCCAATACCTACGAGGACACGCGCGATGAGATAGAAGAAACATGCTTTGTATGTACTGTAATTCCTGTTCTGGGGGTTCAACAACGCAACGGGCCAAAAGCGACAGTGCGAAAATGGACCATCTTGCTTCTTGACATGTTCTCAATAGTCCCAGTGTGCCAGATCCAATATTGTTCGACATACCAGCCGTACCAAGATCTTGGGTGTTTTGGAGTGGCGGGCGGAATCAATTGCGCATCTTCCCTCGGTGTTGCCCGTCCGCAATCCATTCGTCAGTTGGAATTGCTTGTCCTACGCCCATTTTGTATTTCGTCGGCACCATCGAGCTACATTCTCGGCGATATCGAGGGTCGTTCTATTATGACATTCAAAGCCCAGCCAGCACGACGCCGATTGCCGCTAACTCTGTTGCATGGAATGATAAGAGGAGGAGTCCGGCTCGAAAACTAGGTGACACCAACAACCGCCATCGTGAAGATAGCCACTCAACGCCACGACCGAGGTTCGCTTGGGGTTTATCTGACTCCCTCATACACGATACGCCTCTGATAGTGGCTGGCGTTGCCCGCTCCCAGTCCCCTGATGCGTCCCTGACGCTAAGTCGTCCTGCGATCGGCCTGACATCCTTGACCTCACAAGATCAGATCTCGACATACATTGTGATGCTCTCACGTGCAGCCCTAGACACCTACATCGCCTATGGACATCGATCATGGCGACCAAGCCAAAGAGATTCGTCTGCCCCAACGATGCCTGCCAGAAAGGCTTCACCCGCGCTGACCACCTGAGGCGTCACATGTTGAACCATGGCGACGGGGAATACACCTGTCCGAGATGTCGCTTGCACTTTAAGAGATCCGACCTCCTAGGTAAGGCGAGACGGCTGATCTTACGCAGCGCGGGCCGTGGCTGTGACCACGACTGGCTAACTCGAGCTGTCACTTAGATCGCCATGTGGCGCGACATCGGCAGAAGGACGAAGAGGCTGGCGGTGAAGGACTCGGCATTGTCGAGAGTCGGAAACGACTCTGGCGAGACGCCAACGGGAATATCGTCAGGGATCGGCCCTCGCACAGCTACTTGCGCAGGCAGTGGATGAAGATGCAGTCTCTCGACCTCGCGCAGCAGAGTGCCCAGATACCCATCTTCATGAGCTGTTTGAATACCCCCACATCTGTCGATTCAGAGACGGCCTCTCCGTCGAGGTCCAAGTCTGGGCCCGACACGGTGACTTCCCAGGGTCTTGAGGCCGATGGAATTCCTCAAAATCAAGGCTTGATCGAGACGGCACTGGGATTTGACATGTTTGAGTTCATGGCCAGGTCGTCCTGGGACTTTCCGACCGATGATCTGGAGATGCAGGTCGACGCTCCCTGTGACGAAGCGTCGACACAGAACACTATGGGGGAAGCACCATGTTCACGACAAATGGACCGAACTGGCCACTCCGCTACAGCAACAATCTCTTATGATGGACTATTCACTCCGGTGGCCAGTCTCGACTGGCTCATCGACCCCAATGCCAACATAATGTCCGGTCTTGAATCATCGGAATTTGGACAGACCACGAACCCCAATCCGCCACCGAACATGTCTCAACAACCGATGAATTCGTCACTAAACGAATTATTCACCATGCCCCCCGAAACGGAGAGCGAGCCAACGTCGATACAACCACTGGAGCAGCTTTGTCAGCCGCTGCTACAGAACTCGACCGGAGCAACGGAGACCCTGGACGAAGTTCCGGCAACCCCAGCAGTTGGTACAAGAACCTCGAGAATACCGGCTCCATCAGAACTTGTCTCCGCCCTAGATTCGATCTGGGAGACTGGGTCTTCTACTTTTGCTTTGACACGTCCAGGATCTTCAAGAGGGGCACGAGAAGAGTCTGAGCAGATGCCACAATCTGAAAGAGCCAGCTCGTGCTCTGCGTCAAGCCTGGATAGCCTTCCTAGTCGGCTGGCACATGCACCACTGCTGGATGACGACTCGCACCAGAAACTATTGAGCTTGTTGCGCCATGCTAAGGGTAGGGCAGCAGAGGTGAACGTGGATACCGGCAAACACCACTCGCTCTTGTCCCGCGCCTCCATGCAAACCTATCTCGAGCTTTTCTTTTCATGTTTCAATGCTTCTTACCCGCTTCTGCACCCGGCCACTTTTGAGCCATCTCGGACGGAGACTCTACTTCTCGCGGCTGTGGTTTTACTCGGTGCAACCTTTAGCGATAACAGTATTGACGCCTTTTCCGACCGGATGTACGATGCTTTGAGGGCCGAAGTGTTCCATCGGGTAGCGTTTTGTGTGACGCCAGAGCTATGGATGATACAGACCGTGTTCTTGCTCGAATGCTTCGGTAAGTCCAGGCGTGTGGAATTGCATCCCATGTTGACCCATACTGGGACCGGCTAACATGATTGACAACTCTAGGACAAAGAACACATGACACGGCGTTTTTATTCCACGGTCTCCTCGTCAAGTATGTTTTCCCGGCATGAAACACGTCAGTGACAACTAATGCAGAGTAGCCTCATTCGGCGAAGTGATTGCCTGACTGTGCAGCAACCAAGAGCGGTCGACAAACCTGAGCTTCTCGAGTCGAATTGGCACAAGGCGATTAATGTCGAGCTCCAGAAAAGGTGAAATCAATTTCAGAGGTCCAAACAATATACTGACTGGTCCACAGGGTGGCTTTCCTTTGTCTCTTCTGGGATACACAAAACGCCGCTCTCTTCTCCCAGCCACTGTCTCTATCCACGTTCGAAATTCGCACCGCTCTGCCCTGTAGCCGCTCAGCTTGGGAGGCCGCCTCTGCAGAAGAGTGGTGGAAACACGCACGCGAGGAGTCTCTCCTCCCTTTCCAGTCCGTCTTGACGGCGTATCTGGATCTCGAGTCGGGGTTGAAGATTCCTGATCTTGACGCGTTCCCACTACTTCTCATCCTCAATGGACTCATATCGATTCAGTGCGAGATGAAGCACGTAGATCAGATGGCTTCTGGTAAGCGAATGAAATTGAGTCGCTCATCGGTACTAAATGTTCGACAGGATTGATGCACCATACGGGCTATTTGGACAAGGACAAATGGCGGGAACAACTTATTGCCGCATACGACGCATGGAAAGTCGACTTTGACACCTACTGCTTGAAGATGGTTTCTTTTGACGAGAGCCACTCAAGACGAGCCCACTTTGCGCGCTTTAGAACCGCTGCAAATGCGGTGTACCACACGGCCCATATCACGTTGAACGTCGACATCGTCGATCTCCAGATCTACGCCGGAGCCCGGCGTTCCATGGGCCGGCGCGTCACACGCTCGGACTATATGCGAGCCCAAGGGAATGTCAGGGAGTGGGCCAAGGCGCGCGGTTCGTTTTCTGGGGTCAAGGCAGTGTGGCACGCGGCACACCTCTTGCGGGACAGCGTCTTCAACCTGGAACACTTTGACGTCCGACATACCTTTTTCTACCCGTTCCGTCTGTACATCTCGACGCTGATATGCTGGGCGTTTCACTCCCTGACCGTGGCGGACACTACCAAGGCGCCACAGCGGCAGATCGCCAGCCATCGACAGGATGACACGACACCCGCCACAGCTGCTGCTGCGGGCGTAAAGACGACCGAAGGCTCTACGAGGTGGCAGGCCGAAACGGAGATGAAGGTCCTAGTCAGTAGCATGACGAGTGTGATGCCCGAGCGTCTCTCGCGGCTGCTGGGGAAGTATTCGACGTCGGGCCTCACGACCGTCATGGCCGAGCGGTTGAGTCGCATCAGGTGGATCGTGATCCAGGAGGGGATCAAGCTGCTCAGGGATCTTGTGCCGGAACGAGTGGTGGACGAGTACGAGGGCGAGGGCGTTGCTGATGATTAGGTAGGAGTCGTAGGAGCGAGGAGTACTATGAGACTTTACGCGTTGTCTTCCATGGGCTGTCGTGTCTTGTGAGACGGACGAGACCCTCCCGTCTATTTTCTTCTCTTGTTCTCATCATTTACCTATACCCTCTGTTCCGGCACCTTCTACCACCTGGCCATATACGTGCTTGTCCTAAGGGGGCCCCGAGCAGACCAGACCAGACCAGCCTCTTCACTACCTCCCATCCGCCGTCTTGGTTTGATCTTGATGTTGATCTTGTCGAAAGAACAAGACTCGTCACCACCGTTCATCACGACGGATTGAACACCCCCCTACTCCCCTTCCCTCTCCACCTCTCCCTCCCCCTGCTCCTCCCCCTCCACCTTCGTCCTAATCCAATTCTCCAACACGACCGCAATTTCGAGATTATTCAGCTCCAGCATCTGCATGTGTCCGTTGCCCAAGATCCCCCGGTCCTCCAGCCTGATGAAGTCGCACTGCACCCCGGCCTGGCGGAGGTACGCGACGGTGGCGTGGTCGTAGGGGGCGTGGTAACTGGCCTCGCCGACCTCGACCAGGACGGGGATGTGTTGGAGGTTTTTCAATTTGCGCAGCACGACGCCGCCGTTTCGCGGCGCAGAGGAGTCCGCGTCCTGCCGCTGCAGTACCGTGTCGTCTCGCCCGGGCTCTGTCGACGGGATCGTCACCAGGTCCAACTCACCGACCTCCGTCACGGGCGGGGAATACGCGATCGGAATGTCCGTCAGGCCCCATGCCCGCGCGGCCGCGCCGTTGTGGGGGTGTACCCCGGCAAAAGGGGGCCCGTTGGGTTCCACGGCGATGATGGCGCGGATCAGCTCGGGGCAGATGTCCGCCGCGAGCCAGCCCCCCGGAGAGCCTTGGGAGTGGGTGAGCAGGATGGCCGGCGTGGCGATGTGGCGGAGCAGCGCGGCGATAGCACTCGCTTGCGAGGATTGGTATGCGGCGATGTCGGTGACGCTGGGGTATGTACTGGCGTAGAAGGCGTCGAAGACGGGGTCGCCGCGTCGGCCGGTCTGTATGAACCGTGGGCATGTGGTTAGTCGAGTAGAGAGATAGAGAGAGAGAGAGAGAGAGGCAACTCACTCCAGGCCACTGCGAATGCCTCCTCGCCTGCACCCACTTCTCGGGAGAAGGTGCCGTGAACCACGCCTCCACAAACCCCGTGGAGAAGGTTGTATGGTCCTGGCCGAAATCCGGCGCTGATCGCCCCCGCGACGGCGTGTCCATGATGTACACGGTGAAGCCACGCGCGAGGAAATACGACGCCCACCCGGGCCGGTTGTCGGGCGTGTGTAGCCAGTTCTGTACGACCAGCCTCAGCCTCGTGTAATGACATGATATGATTTATGGTGCGGTATAAAAGATCCATGGATATTGGGTATATGGACATGGATATGGATGAAGTAGTGGAAAGTGGAGAAGAAGCAGGAGGAGGAGAGTGGAACGTACCAATCCGCTCTGTCCTGCCCCGTGGATCAAGACCAGCGGGAACGGTCGTCTTCGTTGTCGTCGTCGTCGTTGTTGTAACCCCTCGACTCCCTCGACCTCGACCTCGACCTCGACCGGCGACAAACACTCGACATACGCCTGGCCTTTCATGACGTATCCGCCGTATCTACGGGCCTTGTCCTTATCCTTACCTTGATTAGAATTGCTGTCGTCCTCTTCCTCTTCTTCCGGGACATACTCCCCCCCGACGAAAAAGTAGTTGCGACGGTATGGACCGTCGGGGAAGACGCGTGGGGAGGACATGATATTTCTCGGTCGTTTACTTCTCTCTTCCTCTTTTGGGTTGGCAATGGTATGGTATGGTGTGGTGTGGTGTGGTGATTCGGTAAACAACGTAGGGTCGCCTGGATATGTAGATGAGATAGATCGAATGAGTGAGTGAGTGAGTGAGTGAGTGAGTGACTTGACTTGATCTGATCTGATCTGTCCGCGTGTAAAACAGATCGGGCGTATCTACTTTGGCATATCTACCATCTATACCATCTATACCAAATGAAGGAGGGATAGTGGGGGGCGAGGGATGGACTTATAATAATCTATGGATGACCTAGATAGATACCTGGATAGGAAGGAGAATAGAGAAAAGGGAGAATATACTACTACTTACCGGGCCAACTAGATACTCCCGACGCGGCATCCGCTTAAAATCTTCTCGACTTTTTCCCATTTTTGTACGAGGGGAGATAACAGTTTGTGCGTGTTTCAGAGTGGACATGTGCATAGTATATGGTGCTATTAATTTATAGATATACTCCCCCTGAACCATTCCAAACCTCCGGTTTCAACTTCCAACTTTCCCACCTTGACCCGCACGAGCAAGATTCTGGCCAAAAAAAAAAAAGTAATCAAAAAAGAGTCCCGTCGCCCGCAATCAGAATGGGACTGGACTTGGTCGTCGGCCTGTACTTGGCAGCCAATTCGCGACCTGCCTTGAAAGTGCCGGCCTCAAGCATCTGGCCTAGACTTATGGGTGCCTTCTTTCCATCCGCACTCGCACCGAGTCTGGCCAAAATCATCTGGTAGAGCTCGTCACACAGCGCGACCGTCATGGCACGCCACTCGACGATTTCGTCGCCCGTGGCATCGAACTGGGGCAGGGTTTGGCCCGACAGCTCCTGTCCCCTCCGCAGGGCGTCGGGCTTGAGTCGCAGCACCGGAATATCCACGAAGATGCCGCCGTTGCGGTACTCGGCCAGACCGGTGCTGAGGTGTTCGTTCCGCCACGTCAGATCGAGGAGTCTCACGAACGGCACTTTGAGCGAGTACGCGAGCCACTGCGTCAGCTTGTGGAAGGGCTGGATGGGGCCGGTGAGGCGCTCGTCGCCTGTGGCTTTGGCCCGCTGGGCAAGTACCCGGAGTGGCCATGCGTCGCCGATCGGCCGTCCGTCTATGTGTGGTCGGTTTTCTGGCCAGACAGGGAGAAGAAGCTGTTGCAATGTCTGCCAGAGAAAGGCAAAATCGAGGATATTGGGGTTGGTCGAGTTTTGTAAGAGGTAGTCTGGGGAATCTTACTATCAGAATGATCACAGCGATGGAGAATTAATGGAACGCTCAGAATGCCTTACCGACAAGATTCCCTGGTCGCCCCGTTGCTCCAAAGATGGACGTGTGGTTGAGTAAAGACACACCGAGACGGTTGAGGAGCGTCACCCGTGATGAGAAAGCAGTCATGGCGTTGTTAGTCGAAATCTGAAATCCCTGCTGCATTGCCTGTTCGGTCATGTCGGCGAGACCACGCGCTGGATGCTGTCAGACAGAGCAGAGCCTGATGGTGGAGGTAACATACCGTCAACGAAGTGACCCCCCGTGCTCTGTGACTGGAATTTCCCGCCCAAGAACATGTGCAGAGTAGCCAGCGCGATACCCTCGCTCCTCCCGTACGTCTGGCCCGTTCCCGGCTCGCTGAACTGCCACACATCACCGGCGCCGGCGTCCATCAACACCGAGACAAACAGCAAGTCGACCATACGACGCGCGAGCTCTTTCCTGTCACAGCCCTGGCTCGTCCATTCTTCGAGCAACGGGGTGATTCGCTCCTTGTTCCCGACGTTGAACTGCTGCCACCGTCCATGCGGAGGGATCTGATCGTACCTGTCCGGACCAAAGTCACGCTAACCCGACAGGTGAACTCGTCAGCACTGGTAGACTCTGCCGGGAGCTTGGTTAGGGGGGGAAGAACACACCGAGATGATGGAGAGCACGAAATCGGCGACCTCGGGCATTTTGGTCTCGTCAAAGTCAAAGTGGTTGAGGGAGTCTTTCCTCGCGGCGTCTAGCACATGTTGTGCCTGCGATCGGACACTCTCCAGCGATAGGATGGCGCTGATTTCGGCGTCCAGCGTTTGACTAGGTGTCATGGTGGCCGGTGTTGTGCTGGTCTATCTTGGTTATGTCTGGCGAACAAGAACGACAGAGCCCAGCGATTAGGCGTACCTAATCAGAGGGACGATAACGGCTGAGAGTATTACAGGTGTTTCTGGGGATAATTGGCTTGAGAGTGCAGTAGGAGTAGCACAGCCTAGGACAAGTGCTTCGAGGGGGTCTGCATCGAGGATCGGGGAGAGGCAGAGGTAGAGGTGAGGTTGCGTTTCCCATTTCAGCCAAAGGATGGGGACAAGTCAGGCAGCGAGGGTCGAGGTACGAGTGACGAGGGATGAGGGACGAGGGACGAGGTAGTATGGAAGTAGTAATTGTATCCTCCCCACTCAAGATGAGGCACCAAGCAAGGATGACCTGCATATATTATTATTACTGTGTGTAGAAATATGCCCGAATGACATTAATCGGGGGCACCATGGGGACGGTCATTTCCCGCTATTTCATGCCTCCCCTCCATACATAAGTTCCGCTCCATACAATTGTGTATTCTCCTATACTGGCGAGAAACTGAAAGACGCCACCACAACACTAGATGGAAAACGACACTCGGGTCTCGTCTATCATCAATACAGTATTTACAACTGGATAGCGGTGGTGGTGTACAGAAACAACCCTGAACTGGTCACTGGGCGGGCGGTGACGGGTTCCTCGTTCCTCAAGGCGTACGACACAACACCACCGCAACTTCCCAGATATACCGATGACAATGGGCAAGATCCGCATCGGCATCGTCGGCCTGTCCAGCAAACCCGGCGCCTGGGCGGCCCTGGCGCATCTCCCGCGACTGGCGTCGTCGCCCAACTTTGAGATTGTCGCCATGTGCAATTCGACCCTCGAGTCGACCAAGGCGGCCATCAAGGCACACAACCTCCCGGACTCGGTCAGGGCGTATGCTTCGTACGACGGCATCGCTGCGGACCCGGACGTCGACCTCTTTGTCGTCTCGACCCGTGTCGACAGCCACTACGACGTGGTCGTCCCGGCGTTGAAAGCGCACAGAAACGTCTTTGTCGAGTGGCCACTCGCGACGACGACAGACGAGGCCAAGAAGATGGCCGCGCTCGCGAGAGAAGCCGGCGTTCGGACCATGATCGGGTTCCAGGCCCGCGCGTCGCCGTCGATCCGCAAGATCAAGGAGCTCGTCGACACGGGCAGCCTGGGCGAGATCCACAGCGTGCACTACCACGGCGTCATCAACAACTGGCACGACAACGCCGCCGACGAGCGGTACGCGCACTTCCTGCAGCGAAAAGTCGGCGCGAACCCTCTGACCATCTACGGCGGGCACGCGCTCGACTCGATCTTCTTCGCCGTCGGGGAACTCAAGCCGGGCACCTACCGACCCCTGGCCGTCAACCTGCGGCCGAAGATGCCCATCCAGCGCGCCGACGGGACGATATCGCCCGAAGTCTTCGACAAAGACACCCCCGACCAGATCTGCCTGCAGGGCCAGCTGGCGCGCGACCCGCCCGCCGTGCTGAGCTTCCACCTGCGCGGGGGCGCGCGGTTCCCCTCCTCGCCCGGCTCGACGTGGGAGATCTACGGCACCACGGGCGTGCTGGTCGTCACGTTCGCCAGCGCGGGGCCCCAAATGGCCAAAGCCACGAGCATGCGCCTGTACCGCACCGAGTCCAAGACCGTCGAGGAGATCGTGGTCGACGAGGGCGGCGACGAGTGGACCGCCCTACCCAACCAGGGCCAGAACATCGGTCGGCTCTACGAGGCGTATGCCCTGGGCGAGGGGTACGGGGATTTCGAGCTGGCTGTCAAGAGGCACGAGTTGTTGGATGAGTTTTGGGCGTCGATGGACAGTGTGCACGAGGGTTCTTTGTGATCTTCAGGTTTACTTTTTGATGTGCTATGCTGTGGAAGAGGTGGTATAAACTATGAGAGACATGGCTTTGGTAAGAGGTGGTACGATATAATAAATGAATGAATAAATATAGACAGGGTGCTGCGTTGTCTAGAAAGGGTAAAAGGGGTTGGTTCTGTTCCCCAGATTACAATCCATAGACTTATTACGGTCTTTTAGAAATATACAAGAACTATCTTACTCGGTCCTCTTGAAATTATTAGACTCGAGTGCTGAGGGAGAATTATTATTGTGTGTGTGTATGTGTGCTGCAAAGAACCAGACTCGGTGTCCGTCCAATCCATCCCATCCATTTCCCATAATACCTGTACCATCCCCATCCCACACCAAACGAAGAACCCACGCATAATATCAAATTTCAACTAGCCTTTCTTTACTGAAAGGAAAAGAAAGCCTCCTTTCTTCCTCTTGAGAACCTACTAACAAGTTACTCAATCGGCGTCACATTATCCCACGCCCGATGAACCAACTCGGCAAATTCCTGCAAATTCTGACACCGCCAACCATACCCGACCAAGCCCTTTTCCAGAACCATCCTGCTTTCCGCTTCCTTACCCCACCGCGGCCCGTCCCCGACGAGGTACACGCTGCTCAGACCCAGCCGTTTGGCCGGGGCGTGGTCGTGGCCCAGGCTCTGCGCGACGTGGAGGATCTCGTTGCGCTGCACGCCGTACCGGGCGCAGTAGGCGACCAGGGTTTCAAGACGCGTCTCGTCCAAGGGCCGCTCGGCGTCACTCGGACAGTCCTCGGCGGTGAAGACCTTCCACCAGCTCACGTCGCCGAGGCCGCTCGAAGGCGACGACGACGTCGTGTACCACGCGAACCGGTCGATGTTGGACAGCGCCACGAGCCGGTAGTTCTTCTGCAGTTGCCGGAGCGCCTTGACGGTGCCTGGAAAACACGGCCACGACGAAATTACCGCCTCGCTACCAAACGCGAGAGCCTCGGCCTCGGTCGTGTCGACCTGCAATTCGCGCGCGATCCGGCGCCA